ATATTTTTAAGTGTTTCTGTGTTGATAGGGTTTAAAGATTTAGGCTTTCGATTAAATTTGATGAGTTGGACGTTAGTTTGTGAATGTTCGAGTGTACGGCGCTGAAGTCGTTGATGATCACTGCTCGGATGACGAACAGTCCATAGATTCTGTGTTCCTCTCCGTTTCTTTGCTTTTGCATCAAAAATCGATATTTTTAAGTGTTTCTGTGTTGATAGGGTTTAAAGATTTAGGTTTTCGATTAAATTTGATGAGTTGGGTGTTCGATTGTGAATGCTCGAGTGTACAGCAATGAAGTCGTTGATGATCACTGCTCGGATTGAAATTGTTACGGTTTTGCTAACAGGAAACTCAGTGGGTGAAAACATATAAATCTCTGATTGAAATCAATAGAAAGCTAATTAGACTTGCCTTAGCGCCAGTTTTGATCACCTTCGTAAGGGCAGCCCCACATCACCAAATGTGGTGGTTGGGTGTTTGCATAAATGACGGCGTGACGACTGTTTGTGCATGCATAACAATTACGATAGCCCAACTGTGGCTCAAATATTTGTAATTAGCTCCGAGTACATACTGTTCTGCAAGTGATGCTCAAGTCTCTCTCTGTTTATATCTAAATATTCAAGCTAATTTGAAAATGTTGTATCTTATATTGGTAAAAAGAATGTTTTTTAATATGATTTCGACATCTTCACCATGTTAAACAGTTTGATGGTTGCTTTTCTATGCTTATTTGGTATTGCTAATGAAGAATCACGCTGCTGTTTCCTCTCATGTTGAAGATAGTGAGTGCAATGCCAAACCGTCGTAATTCATCAACTATGATTACTTTCTGTTTCAACATTTGGTTGACTTATTACTTTCGTGTGGGCTGTGTGATGTTTGCAGTGGAGCATGTTGATTATCCTGTTAAGGTTAGTGGCGTTGACCTGTCTCCAAATCCCCCTACATTCAATATCTCTGCGTCTACTGGTAGAAGAACATACTTTTCGCTTCACTCATATACTTGTTGTTTGTTTGTCAGCATATCTATGACAATTATATCTTTACATGAATGATGGTAAGGTTCTTCATGGAAATTGAAATTACCTAAAAACACAGAGAACACATGCATTTGTTATATGTTCTTGTAATGCATGCTCATCTTAGCCCGTCCTTTTCGTCTATGGTGTATTATGGCCAAAATCCAAGACTAATCTCGAAATAGGGTGGTTTCATAAATGATGATTTAACTAACTATTGGTTGATTTAAATGCAAAAAATATGTGGCATAGCTTTTAGAAGGACCATGTGAATTAGGATGTAAGGTCAGAAATATCCCTCAAATGCTGCTAAAAGAACTCTTAACTTATCAAGAAGTGAAGGTTCTTCCTCCAGATTCTTAACTACTCTACAAAGCTTTTTCTTAATAGCACAGAAAGCTTTAAGAAGCATCATTCAATGCATAATAAAATTCTTCAGTATGACTCAATAAGTTCTTTCATATGCTTAAACTAGATAATGCGCAATTATATTTTTGAGTGTTGTTCAGAAACTGGAAACCTGTATGGAAAAAAAGAGGATGACAACAAAGCATGAGGTTATTTCCTGTTCAGAGTCCAGGGAGCCAAAAAATTTGTGTCACTTGTTCATATGTGTGAACAACATATGCATCTAAAAAAATTTCCTGTTGAGACTTCTCTTCCCTTTCACACATATTTCTAACTTGTTTTCTTTATTCAGGATAAGTAGGATGCACATTGTATCATTTGAAGTAAGGCAATCAAAAAACATTCAAAAGGAACTGTATTAACAAGTGAAGTGAATGGAAGATCTCAAGTGGAAGATACAGAGAAGTAGTCCAGTGTGAAAGGGAAGGAAACGAGGGAAATATGTGCCGTGAATTTGGAAGAGATTGTTTGAGATGAAGGTTCAAGAAAGATGAAGGATAGGATAGGAGGCGATGTTGCACTTAGCCTTAGTTTAAATCAATCTCAGTGAGTAAGAAAGCCACATTTAATCTTGGGGTAGCGCATTTTACCACCTGCGGTTCAACCTGATTTCAACCCTGCAAAAGATAGTGGTAGTTCCTCTCTATGTGGATTGATCCAAGAGAGGATCATAGTAAGAAACAAATGGTAGATATAGAGATTCATCATGTTGACAGCTCATGCAGCTTAAGACAGTCCAACTTTCGCAATTGAAAAGGGGGTTTTTTTTTTTGCAGTATATTTAGTAAATTTGTTAATCATGCAAAATACAAGATCAAAGCATTATCTCTATCATCTTCTATCTTGTTTATATAACAACTTGAAATTATCTTGATATTGTAAAGTTCTTTTTACCTCTGTCTCTCTCTCTCTCTCTCTTGAGCTAATGAAACTTCTGTCTGTATAAGAACAAAACAATGTTTTTAGGCAGTTTGTGGATATTGCTTGGATGTTTCACCTCAACTTGTTCTGATGCTTTCTTTAATCTGATTTTAGCTAATCTTAATGTTTTGATAGAATTAGGTTGCTCATTTACGATCTGAAACTACTTAAGTCGATCATCCCAGTACTCATCATCAGAATATTTAGCGCTCTTTTTTACCATCATATAGCATAAGCTATCTACTTATGTTTTTGTATTTTGTACATTTGGAATCTAGAATCTGTGAGGTTTTATCTCCGTCTCAGGGATCATACACACTTACAATGAAGCGGATCGGAGACAAATCAGAACGACTGACATGCATTATTTTCTATTTCGGCATCTGAATGCTGCGAGATATGCTATCTTCCGCAATATGAGCTGACACATCATGCTCTACTTGTTCCTCCTTTGTGAAATCGACATTGTAAGTAAGAAAGATGTTATCCGAATGTTTAACTTATGTATATCTGTGCTTTGTGAAATCACATCATAAAACTTCGTTTCCAAAATGTTTAATGCATCAAGTTCATTGTTGTTTATGGTGTACTCTCTGTTGACTAATCGATGAGACTCAGCTAGTTTGACTTCCTGCCAAAGATCAGCAGCATGACTCCTTTACTTTGACTCCATGACGACGACCGTCTCCGGTGCTTCACGGCCGTTCCCTATATTCGTGACTTAAGTCGTCTCGTACGGGTTGGATCCGACCACAGCATCGACCCGTCGCGACGTGGGTCGTGGTGTGAGCACCCACACCACATGGCTCGGCCCCGCGGTGCGACCTGATGGCCGTTGCCCTTTATCATTTTGAAATCTAAGGCCCCACCATAACTTTATAGCCGTTGGCACCGCCTCCTCCTCACACAAGCAACAAAGAAGCGGAGGGGAGAGACCACAGTAGGGAAAAGAAAGCTACCAGTGTGGGCTCTCTCTCTCTCTCTCTCGCTCGCTCGCTCTCTGAGAGGAGCAAATCTCCTGGCTACCGAGAGTGGAGACTGCGTGTTGTTCCAAATCCACATATCCACGTACCCATATTTGCTACTTTTCTTCCATATCCATAGCACTGTCATCCATCAGCAGCAGCAGCAGCACCACCACCCTCAGGTTGGCAGCAGACGTTGCTGGTAAAGGGACAGCGGCAGCGACATGAAAGGTATCAGGGGCAGGATCCTGAAGAAGCTCCGGTCCATCCCCCAAGTGCCCTACCTCAAGCACCAAGAGCGTGTCCTTCATGTCCATGCTTCTGCCCCTTCCCTTCCTACTCCTCCTGATCCTTCTCGGGTCCTCCGCGACCTCCCCGTCGGCAGCAGAGTGGAGGAAGCCTCGAATTCCGCCTCCTCCGATGACCAGCTGACTCCAGTTTCCCATCTCCATGACGTAGTCGATGTCGCCGAGCTCGTGAGAGACCTCGAAGAAGAAGAAGAAGAAGAAGCGGCCTGCGACGAGGAAGAATCCGACCACAGCAGCAGCAGAAGCAGTATCGGTGACAAAGAGAACTCTCGACCGCCGCCGTCGTCGCCACCTAAAGAAGACTCTTCTTGGAGAACCAACGACGAGGAGGACCAGCACGGCCAAGAAAACGAAACTTCGTACCGGCGGCCGGATCTGGACTCGGTGACGCTGTTCGATCCGGAGCTTCTTGCGGCGTTCGAGAAGGCGGTGGTGGAGCACATGAGGAGCTTCGAGGAAGCCAAGAGCAGGGCCAGGGCCAGAATAAAGGAAGAAGAATACGACGAACATGACGGCGGAGGAGGAGGAGAACCGCACGGCGTCGAGGAGCCTCCTTCGAAGGTGCCTCGCACCGACGACGACGAGGACCCGCTGACGGAATTCGAGCACAGGTGCCCGCCCGGGGGCAGGGAATCCGTCATCCTCTACACCACCACGCTTCGGGGGATCAGGAAGACCTTCGAGGACTGCAACGGCGTCAGGTTCCTGCTCGACAGCCTCAAGGTGAGGTTCACCGAGAGAGACGTGTCGATGCACCTGGAGTTCCGGGAGGAGCTATGGAGGGTCTTGGGCTACCGCGCCATCCCCCCGAGTCTGTTCATCCGAGGGAGGTACGTCGGAGGGGCCGACGAAGTGCTGGGGCTCCACGAGCAGGGGAGGCTGCTGGCGCTGCTGCGGGGGGCGGCTCGGGACCGGTCGGCCGGCGAAGAGGCGTGCCGAGGGTGCGGCGGAGTGAGGTTTGTGGTGTGCTGGGAGTGCAATGGGAGCCGAAAGATCTACCATGGCGAGGAGGAAGAGGAGGAGGACGCATGCCCGGCGCAGTGCCGCCATTGCAATGAGAATGGCTTGGTTGTGTGCCCCATCTGCTGCTAAGATTGCTTGGCTTTCACCGTCGTTGGCCATTCTAAATTCTTTCAATAGATTCGTGATGTTAATGCTCTTCTTCTTCTTCTTCTTCTTCTTCTTCTTCTTCTTCTTCTTTCTTTGTACTGCTCTCTGTACACTCATTCTTCTTCATATATGTATCATTGAGATGATCTGTGTCAAGCCTCTGTTGAAACCATTTTATGTTTGTATCACAAATCATATTTTAGTGCCCTCATTACTCTACGAAATAAAGGAAAAATAAACACTAAGAATTCATCATATCTGATAAAAAAAATTAGAACATTAGTCTCAAAAAATTGATTAAATTATAATGATAAATTACAATTACAATTCCACTTCCTCAAATTCTTTTCTTCCCCTTCTTCTGTAATCTAAACTAAGATGATGAACAGCAATTTGAAGTTATTACACATTTTGCATCATCGATCTACTAAAGCTTGCCATCTCTTCTTTCCTTATCTTTAGGCTGCAGAGAGAGAGAGAGAGAGAGAGAGAGAGAGAGAGAGGCCAAAAATAATAGGCAACTCATGACTCGGTCTTTCTTTTCTTATGGATAAGAGGCAGGGATAAGAGGCAGGGCAAGAAACAAGGGAACAGTTAGCTCTTCTTCCTCGGGATATGACCGCAAAGCTCGGTCAACTCAGCACCTCTCCGATTCCAATCTCCATCACACACCCTGCTATTTAATGCCAGCCAGCCATCCCCCTTTCAACTCGTCCCTCGCTCATCTCCTTCCTACCCCTCTCGTTCTACGAGTCTCCCAACACACACATCTCGAGAGGGGGAAATAATAAGCCAAAGCCATGGCCAAGCTCTGGCTTCTCCCTGTCGTCGCTGCTCTCTGCTTGGCCCTCGCCGGCGTCGCCCTCGCCGCCCCAAAGTTCGTCATCCAAGGCCGCGTTTACTGCGACACATGCCGTGCCGGCTTCGAGACCGTCGTCAGCCAGTACATCCCAGGTAATCTCCCTAGAAGTTTCAGCCGCAAGCTTGCGTGCTACTTGGCTGCACTCTAACCTCTCCCGACTTCCATGATGAAGGTGCCAAGGTCAAGCTGCAATGCAGGCACTACGAGACCGACTCGATCGAGCACACAGCGGTGGGCGTGACGGACGGCACCGGGACGTACAACATCGAGGTGGAGGACAACCACGAGGAGGAGATCTGCGAGGTGTCGCTGGTGCAGAGCCCGGTGCCCGGCTGCTCCGAGGTGTCGGGGACCCGCAACCGTGCTCGCGTGCTGGTGACCGGCAGGAACGGCTTGGCTTCCGACGTCCGCTACGCCAACTCCCTTGGCTTCCTCAAGGATGAGCCGCTGAAGGAGTGCGGCCTGCTGCTGCAGCAGTATGCTCTCGGCGTCGATGACTGAGCGAGAGGAGAACGAGCTTAATACTAATCAATCATACATCACCCAGCTTTCGATAAAAGCCATTTGGTGTGAGATGATGATATGAGAGACATGTGAAGCCAAAGAGGTTTTGGATCCAAAATATAATGCTTGGTGATCTATTCTGCTACATCTCTATGTTTCCCTCATTTCATTATTCATGTGGTGATTCAATGATGGATATGTTTTCTGTGAGGTAAAACATATCCATCATTGAATCGAACAACTTATGACTGCTGCTGGTAAATCAACAGAAAGGAAACTGATAAAATCCATGAAGAAGACATCCACTGAACTCATTAACAGAACACATTTCATTTGAGTAATGGAGATTCACTTGATCATAATGATTAGATCCATTAGTGCACATCATCATATTACTTAACATTCCAGGAATACAACATTATTTCTTCCCCAATCTGTTTGCTGATCTATATGATAATAGTTGTCTTACATGGCAATAGAAAAAGGATAACAAGGTCAGAAAATCTCTTCCTTTCAATTAGATTCACAATAATAGTTTGAAGCTTAGACTAAATAAATTGGTGGTGAGAGTAGAGATAGAAGATTTATTTGAAGCAACATGAGATATATTATCCCTTCCTAAATAATTGGGTTTTCTATGGTAGTATGATTAGTTCACCATGAAAGACCTGTTTATTTATATTTGGTCTACTATTTGTTATTTTCCCTCATAATGTCATATTTCTAAGAACAACTATTGGACCATTCATCTTTGCCAACATGCCTTTATTAGGTTTAGTCATATGTCACTCTGAAGCAATATGAGATATATTGTCCCTTCCTAAATAATTGGGTTTTCTATGGTTGTATGATTAGTTCACCATGAAAGACCTGTTTATTTATGTTTGGTCTACTATTTGTTATTTTCCCTCATAATGTCATATTTCTAAGAACAACCTATTGGACCATTCATCTTTGCCAACATGCCTTTATTAGGTTTAGTCATATGTCACTCTGAAGCAATATGAGATATATTATCCCTTCCTAAATAATTGGGTTTTCTATGGTTGTATGATTAGTTCACCATAAAAGACCTGTTTATTTATGTTTGGTCTACTATTTGTTATTTTCCCTCATAATGTCATATTTCTAAGAACAACTATTGGACCATTCATCTTTGCCAACATGCCTTTATTAGGTTTAGTCATATGTCACTCTGAGTAGGCACATATTTAGTATATTTTGTTTTACTTTCTTTTTTCTAGTTTCACTTCATCTATTTTTGTTTGCATGATATCTACTCAGAACCTGTGATTAAAGGATGCCATACTACATGGGAAATATTTTGATCAACAGTTTTTATTGAAACCAATGCTACATTCTAAAGATGGACTTCCATAGCTGCACTGGATCATCTAAATCAATGTGTTGCACATGCCAACCTACTGCCAAGGGCAAGAGGATGAGTGGCATTAGTCTCATGGCCTCTTGCTCATATGTAGGGTAGCAAATTTTTTCTTGGTTAATCATATGAGCTAAGGACTAACCTAAGGACTAAATTATTGCCTTGTGTTTTCTGCTCAAGTGAGCAAATGCAGCTGGTGCTGAAGGTAATGGCTTGATTTATGCATGACCTGAAGGAATTCATGGACATGATCATGAGGTAGTCCACTTGATTTGTGATAGGATCAAAGAACCTCTAAAGTTCAAATCAATCTTATACTATGTTTGATAGTTAGGGTCACCATCTAGTAAAAGAAACATGAAATCACGATATCGGCCGAGAGTAAGAATGACAATGGATAGAATGCTCATAAATTTCATTATATCTAAACCCGAGTAATCATTCAAGTATTCTAATCCACCTCAAGTCCAACTAGGGTACCTAGGGCTTGGATTTATCAAGCTAACATAAGTTCGTAAAATCGAATGCTCCAACTCATGTGATCCATAAAAGATGACTTCATGACTTTTGTGTTCTTGCTGGTCCTAAGAATAAAACACACGGTGGAGTTCCTAATTGTTCCTAAAGACAGGTATAAAGACTGGTTAAAAAGGAAGTCTCCTCCAAGCAAATTTGCAATCAGTTCTTCCCCATGATTCATGGGCCAGTGACCATTTGTACCATATCAAACCAAAGGCTTCAAATAAGAACACCCTTAAACATCCTACTTTGCTAGCAGGTGCCAGTACTTGGAGACTAATTCAACAGACAAACATCGATAATGAACGATACAATTTTCATCTGTTTTTATTATTGTTTGCAAAACAATAATAAATCATGATGAAAAGAACCTGTACTTAGCATTCCTAAACATGTTTAATCACATACCGGATCAACTCTGGGAAAAATTTTCAGCACAAAAAAAAAAAATAAAACAATGTCAAACTGATAAAAACTTCAAACTAAATCAACTTCTCTAGATGTCACAGTCCACACATTAAAATGCCAAGTGGAGGAATATGGAAAATTAAATTTAAACAGGATTGTGAGCAGTACATAGACAAGGAGAGAACAAAAGTAGAAAATACACTATGCAACTCATGAGCTTATCGATCACACTTTAAAAGGGTTGTTGACAAGAAACTGTGAGCAGTACATTGCCTCAAATGCATGAGTGTTTTCTGCTTGTGTCAACTGATATAGAACTGGTCACCTAGCTACATATGTAAACTGCAAAAGTAATATTTGGGAACTAGATTATATATTCTCAAATTCTCTAGGTAAAGAAATTCAAACAACTCACTGCTGCTCTAAAGAACACTGCACAAAAACCATACAGAGAGACATGTGCAAGAAAATGAGACAGCTGCACTAAACAAGGATCACACATGATACTTTTGGTAAAGAGAAGATATCCATGTCACATGAGAAAATCACAAGAATGGTCAGCCTAGCAAATTCAGCTTCGTGGAGGAACTTGATATGATTCTTACAAAAAGCCAACGAGCAAAAGTGAATTCAAAAGTCCAGCCTAACTTGCAGATGGCTCAGCTAATAGACCAGATCTGTTACCTTCAGGTTGCACACCAGAATGTAACTGCTCCATCTCCTGACCAGGGAACACTTCAGACTGCAAAGATGGAGCAATGTTGTTTACATGAAGCCACGTCAACTCCCACAAACTATCACCACCTATTGTGCTTCTTTTCGCAAGAATACCTTTTGATTTCATCATCAAAAGAGTGTTCTTGAGGAGTTCAGGAATCAGTTCTTGCAGTTTATCGCTCTTCTTACCTCTCACTTTCACCTTCATATACTTCTCCAAACGACTGAGTACCCCCAACCACAGCTTGCAGAAACTACTCAGCCCAAAAAGATCTTGCCATTGCTGCAAAAACACCTTTGACAGTAACTTCATGGCATGCAAAAGTGTGCCCTCCATGTTCCGGTAATCTTTCTGGGAATGATTCTGTGCAATCTCCAGCAAGTCATCAAGCATAGTAAATATAACTAGATCGAAGGCCTGCAGCCAAGTTGACGGTAAGAGGCACACCCCATCTCCAACCAGGCATCTCTGCAGTGATGCCAATGCATGATTCCTTACTTCTTCTCTCTGATCCAAGCAGATCTTTCTCAATGCTTGCACAAGCCGCAACCACATCTCTCTGATTCCCTCTGAAATTTTATCAGTTTCAGGACCTGCATTCCCTGTCTCATGAGACCAGCGAGCAAGACAATTCATGGATTCTGCCATTAGATCTAATGCACGAACTGATCTATCTGTTAGCCCCACACGAGACTCCGCAAACTGCCTTGAGGCTTCAATACAAAGAACATAGTTGGCTGGTGAAAGATGAGCTCCTTCAGACATAATGAATAGGAG